GAGAGAGAGAAAAAGAGAGGGGGATGAAGCGGAGGCGATGATGACAAGGGTGAGGACGATGAGGACGATGATGACGATGAAGATGATAACAAGGATGATGGCAATGATACCTCCGAAAAGCAAATGCGGGGTCCACCCCGGGTTTGCATGTCCGGCCGCTTCATGCCGCGACAAACGACAACGCGCTCGAACAATTATGATCAGGGTCGCTGTGCTGATGAGGATGGTGGTGGTGATGAGGATGGTGATGGTGATGGTGGTGCGGAGGATGCTCATGATGAGCCCCCTGCGCCCGGCAAGCCGACGCCTCCATGTACACGAATGCGGGTGTCGCGATGACGATGGGGTGGGGGCGCAGGAACGCGAAGGCAGCGAGGGAGGGCGAGAGGAAAGAAGCATAGCGGGCGGGGCAGAGCGGAAGTGGAGGAGAGAGAGAGAGAGAGAGAGAGAGGGGGGGATGAAGCGGAGGCGATGATGATAAGGGTGAGGACGATGAGGACGATGATGACGATGAAGATGATAACGAAGATGATGGCAATGATACCTCCGAAAAGCAACTGCGGGGTCCACCCCGGGTTTGCATTCTGGCCGCTTCATGCCGCGGCGAACTACAACGCGCTCGAAAAATTATGCTCAGGGTCGCTGTGCTTTGGAGGATGGTGGTGGTGATGGTGATGGTGATGGTGATGATGGTGGTGCGGAGGATGCTCATGATGAGCCCCCTGCGTCCGGCAAGCCGACGCCTCCATGTACACGAATGCGGGTGTCGCGATGACGATGGGGTGGGGGCGCAGGAACGCGAGGGCAGCGAGGGAGGGCGAGAGGCAAGAAGCATAGCGGGCGGGGCAGAATGGGGGACAGGGCGGTCTATGCGGGCGCGGATGGTCTTGTATGGAGATGAGGGGGCGCAGGTTGTTGCGAGGTGGCGGCGGGGAGGAAGGCGGGACAGCAGTCTTGGGGCGACAGTCGACGTGCAATGGAAGCTGGTGCGAGTGGGCAGTTGCAGCCGGAGACCAGGTCGCGTCCTCCGGGCGGCGCGCCATCCTCGGCGACGAACACCGCGGCGACCTCTTCCTTCGTGGGATGGTTGTATCGTCGTACGTCGCCAGTGGTAGCGGCTGCGAATCCAAGGTGGACGTCCTCGCGGCCGGCCGCGAGGTACTGGTCCGCGAGCTCTTTCATCTGGCGGTACTTACCTACGAAAGGCGAGCACGTTTCGATCATGTTGCCGAGGTCATACAAGATGTCCGCTTGAAGGTCGGTCCAGAAGTTGAGGCGGCGGCGGTGGGCCTCTGCGTGGTCGTAGATGTAGAGTTGCCCGAACTTTGGCGTCTCCGCACCCAGAGGCTCAAGCGCGTAGCTGTAATGGTAGATCGCACCGTGCAGCATGCACACGGGCGGCCCAGTGGAGCTGGCCCCAGGCGGCAAGGACAGTGTGGCACCGAAGGAAACGAACGAGAGAGCAGAATTGTAGCATCGGATTTTGTCTTGGAAGTCCCGCGCCCGCTTGTCTGTGGACTCGATCAGTTGTCGCAGAGGGTCGGGGCAGCCGAAGCAGCTAGCGTCGTCCCACAAGTACTTCAGCTTGCCGTTGGAGCAGCAGAGGTTGAAGTGGGAGTCAGCTCCAGTGCGCTCCTCGGTGAACATGAGTGCGCGGCAATGCGGGCATTCGTCCGCCATAGGGGCGAGAACGAACGGCTCAATGGAAGCATCGTCGTAGTCCTCGATGGGCATGATTGCTGCGACGGAGGCGACCCCGCGGTCGCGGCGGACAGCGGCAGCATGAGCCGCCATGCAGTAGGAGCGGCCGTCAACGCAGCATTGCGCCTCGGTACGCGCACGCAAAGTACACGGCCCAGCGACGTCGACGTAAAGGCACCGAGCGCGCGACTGGTTCGCAGAAGTTGTCATAGGGACGAGCGGCTGCAGGAAGCATGCCGCGGGTCGCTTTCCAATTCGGCGGCGACGGGCCGGGGCCGTGGGAATGGTGGCGCCGCTTGACGCTCGTGTGCGCTTGCCGAAGAGCTCGTTGGCGTGCGCCGTGCAGTACCACTTCTCATCAGGACCTTTTTTCTTCAGGGGTCGCTGGCAGGGCAGCTGGCCTAGGAGGCCAGGGCATCCCGTGCCGGCTTGAATCCGGAGGGCTTGCACCGGCGTCTTCCCTTTGCAGCGCACTCGGCGGATGAGCGCGGGTACACTGCAGCCTCTGGCTCGTTTGGCATTGCCGCCTCCGGCTGCCATGGGGAAGTGGCGGCCACAATACCACTTACCACGGATAGTGCGCCTACCGTGGCTTGCGCACTGCGGTCCAGCAGGGAGCGTCCAGCAGCAAGGTCTGGAAGAAGCGCCATACTTGAGGGTATGGTGGCGACGGCAGTAGCGGCGGCCATCCGCGCACGTGGGGCCTTTCGGCTGGGCCGAGCAAGCGGACCCGTCGGGGTGAACGAAGGCGCAATGGCCACCCATGGCAGCAAGGACGAGGTAGATGAGGCAGAGCCAGCGGCACGGGCAGAACGGGGACATGCTGTTGGAGGCCAGGGCGACAGCTACAGAAGCCCCTGAGCCGAAGCGGCGACATGAATGGAGGCAGCCGGGAGCATGTGGAACAGAACCCGCGGAGGCAGATGTGGAACAGAAACCGCGGAGGAAGAGCATGGAGCAGGGAGAAAGAAGGGAGGGCTGTAGGGAGGGTTTGCAGGCCGCCCGGGGACTCCCATGGCTTTTCGTGGTCGGACCTGTGCCGTTGCACTCCTGCCGCCTCTTGCTCCCCTCCCGTAGTCGTCGTCGTCGTCGTCATGTTTGTCGTCGTCGTCGTCGTCATGTTTGTTGTCGTCGTCGTCGTCGTCGTCATCGTTGCAGTCGTCGTCGTCGTGGTGGTGGTGGTGGTCGTCGTCGTCGTCGTGGACGTTGTCGTGGTCGTGGTCGTGTTCGTCGTGGTCGTCGTCGTCGTCGTGGTCGTCGTCGTCGTCGTCGTCGTCGTCGCCGTCGTCCCCGTCGTCCCCGTCGTCGTCGTCGCCGTCGTCCCCGTCGTCGTCGTCGTCGTCGTCGACGTCGTCGTCGTCGTCGTCCTCGCCGTCCTCGTCGTCGTCGTCGTGGTCGTCGTCGTCGTCGTCGTCGTCGTCGTCGTCGTCGTCGGCGTCGTCGTCGTCGTCGTCGTCGTCTGGGGCTGTCCTGGGGCCGGCGGCCCAGCAGGAGAGGCATGGGAGCAACCGGAGTGCTCTTCTGCGCCTGCGAGGGCCCTCTCGCCTCGCGTCCCCCCGCCGCTCTTGGGAGCAGTTTTGAAGCCTCTTGGGGGCCGTCTGGGAGCTTCTCGGAGGATCTTTTGGGCTTCCTGGGGGCCTCTCGGGGCCCTCTTGGGCCAGGTAGGGCGCCTCGTGGGCCGTCTTGGGGCCGTTTTGGGCCGTGTAGGACGCTTGTTGGGCCATCTTGGTCCATCTTGGGCTGTCTTGGGCCCCTTCGGGGCCCCTCCTGAGGTCCTCTTGGGCCGTCTTGTGGGCCTCCTGGACCGTCCTGGGGCCGTCTGGAGCCGTCTTGGGGCTCTCCTGGGAGCCTCTCGGGCCGTCTTGGGGCGATCTTGGAGGCCTCCGGGGCAGTCTTGGCAGTCTCGAAGTCCTAACAAACGAATCGGTGAAAGTGTCCAGTTTCCGGAGGGAAATGGGCCGATTTTCGTTGGATGGACCTCTCTTGGGGGGTCCTCTTGGGCCCCCTTGGAGCCGTCCTGGGGCGTCTTTGAAGCGCATGCGGCCGTGTGGAGAGCATTTTGGGCCGCCTGAAGGCCGTCTTGGGTAGTTTGGGGGTCCTCTTGGGCCCCCTTGCAGCCGTCCTGGGGCGTCTTTGAAGCGCATGCGGCCGTGTGGAGAGCATTTTGGGCCGCCTGAAGGCCGTCTTGGGTAGTCTGGGGGCCCCTGTGGGCCGCATGAGGGCTCTGCAGGGTGGTGCTGGCGCCGTTGGGGCACCCTCGGGGGGCCCTCCAGTGCGGTGTAGGACCTCCGGGGAGCCCGGGGATCCGGGGGTCCACGCAAACCCGCTAAGGCCAATTCGAATTTATTTGAATATGATATATAATATATATATATATATATATATATATATATATATATATGTATGTATGTATATATATATATATGTGTGTATATTATATATGTATATATATATATATATATATATAATATATATATATATATATATATATATATATATATAATATAAATATATATATATATATATTATATATCTAGAACCACGCGCGCGCGCTCCGCGCGCGCTTAGGTTCTAGCGCAGTCCTAGCCAACCTCATAAGATCGGATGAGGATGGACATCATCTGGCAAGTGTCACCATATGGGAGCGTACTTCCTGGTGGGGAGACGCTGAATAAGCGCTCCAGGAAGTTGCGCAAGGCGTCCAGAAGAAGGACACAGGGCAGGCTCAGGCGGATGCCCGAGAACCCTTGAGAGCCTGGCAAGACCATGCTGGGAGTATTGGTGGATGCCTTTGGGAGACGCTCTTGAAGGCTTTTTTTAAGACTTCGCAAGAGCGCAAGCGCAAACTGAATTGGAAGAAAACCGAAGTCGCCTAACCATACCTTATTTTTTGCCCCCGGGCAGAAATGTGGGAACCGTGTCCCCAAAGGAAATGAAGCGAAGCTTCCTCGCGCCCGTAGTTGCTTCCAACGCCGAAAGCTAAAAGCAGAGGGTAGAAAAATGGAGCGAAGTTTCCTCGCGTCCAGCGGAACTTCAAGCTCAAAGTAATTACAAAACGAGGGGGATGCCCAGGCTCCCGTGGGCCCCCAGAACATTGGGCTCCGTTTTGCGCTCCAGGCGGCGCCACAGCACCGCTTCCCTCGGATGTGCCCCCAAAGTTCTTCTTGGGGCCCCGGGCCAAAAGATTCAGCTACGGGCGGCGCTTGCTTTGAGCGGCCCTAAACCCTAAATCTCCAATCCTTATAATTATTAAACCCTAAATCCTTCCAAACCGGTCGCTATGCAACCCCCCCTCCATCCTATGCAAAAAATACGATTTCCTGATCATGCGATCAGAAAACCATATTTTTAACAATACAAAGTGCCCGGCCCCGGTCGCGAACCGGGCTCATCCATTGCAAAAAAAGCTATATCCTGATCATGCGATCAGAAAACCATATTTTTTACAATACAAAGTGCCCGGCCCGGGTTGCAACCCCTTATGTAAACCGGAATTCTGTTTTTTTTTAAAAAAATATTATAAACTTAACCTTCTGCCTTTCAACATGCTCCATCTTATGCAAAAAATACTATACCCTGATCATTATTTGTTTCTGATGTGCGCTTTCCATTGTAAAAAAATATGCACTCAACATTTTGATGTTGTAAGATGTGTCCATGTCAATAATCCACTGCAAAAAATACGACAGAGTGCACACGCGCGCGGCGGCCGCGCGATCATGGCGAAATCCTTTGAAAAAACCATGTGCTTTCAATATGTTTTCAGAAGCGTTATCAGCAAAACATATGAAACATATGACTTTCTCATACCACAATTGTGCAGGATCGCCCTCCGCGTGCATCCTGAAGCATTGAAAAACCAATGGGTTTTGCAACATTCTTGTGAATCGGGGCGTCACAAACAACTTTTGAGCGCACGGCGAATGTGCCCATGCTCATATTCCATTGCAAAAAACGACAAAGTGCACACGCGCGCGGCCGCCGCCTCTTTGCTAAGCGCTTGCTCCCAGGCGCACTCCTGGATCGAGCCACGCTTGCTATGGTATGCTATGCTATGCTACAGCCACGGTGTAACATGAGAGGAGAGATGATCTTTATGTGGGGGTGGAGATGCGGGGGGGATTGATAGCCAGGTGAGTGCCTATGCAGGTAGGTATTCCTGGCCTTGCCCTGTTAGACCTTAAACCCTAAACCCTAAACCCAAAATCTCTAATCCCTATGATTATTAAACCTCAAACTCTACCTGCCCATGCCTCCCTATTTCTTGTAAACTTCTGAATCGAGCCTCATATGGGGATCTTTACGGCCCGCTATGTAAACGACCCACAATCCTATGCCGAAAAACAATATAAACTGATCATGCGTGCTCCCAGGCGCGCCCCTGGATCGAGCCTGCCATGGGGGCCTTTACGACCCGCGATGTAAACCACCCACAATCCTATGCAAAAAATACTCTTCCCTGGTCATGCGCGCTCCCAGGCGCACCCCTGGATCGAGCCTGCTATGGGGATGTTTGCGACCCGCTGTGTAAACCACCCACAATCCTATGCAAAACATATTATTTCCTGATCATGCGTCCTCCCAGGCGCACTCCTCGATCCAGCCATCCAGCCTGATATGGGGATGTTTACGACCCGCTATGTAAACCACTCGCCCGTCAGGGTCCCGCCCGTTGGGGCCCCGCCCGCCCGTTCGGGCCCCGCCCGCCCGACCCGCCCGTTAGGGTCTCGCCCGCTGGGGTCCCGCCCGTTAGGGTCTCGCCCGACCCGCCTGTTAGGGTCCCGCCCGTTAGTGTCCCGCCCCTGTCAGGGTTCGCCCCCATGCGCGCCAGGCGCTCCCAGGCGCGCTCCGAGACGCCCCCAGGTGCTCCCAAGCGCCTCAGGCGCACCCACGCGCTCCCAGACGCTTCCAGGCGCTCCCAGGCGCCCCCCGGCGCGCCCAGGCGCGCCGAGGCGCCCCCAGGCACTCCTTGACGCTCCCAGGCGCTCCCAGGTGCTCCCAGGTGCTCCCGGGCGCCGCCATGCGCTCCCAGGCGCTACCAGGCGCTCCCATGCGCGTCACGCGCTCCCGGGCGCTCCGCCCCCCAGCGCCCTCAGGCGCGCCCAAGCGCCCCCCCCATGCGCTCTCATGCGCTCTCAAGCGCTCCCAAGCGTTCCCAGACGATCCCAGGCGCCCCCATGCTATGCTACAGCCACGGTATAACATGAGAGGAGAGATGATCTTTATGTGGGGGTGGAGATGCGGGGGGGATTGATAGCCACCGCAGGTGAGTGCCTATGCAGGTAGGTATTCCTGGCCTTGCCCTGTTAGACCCTAAACCCTAAACCCTAAACCCTAAAACCCTAAACCAGGGCCCGAGGATCTCGCGGCGCTCGGTCATCGGCCGCGCCCCGGCAGAGTGCCCTGGGGCTGATCAGGACTGCGAGGCCATGATCGGGGCGCGCTGGCCCTCCCCTGCGGCCTCGTTCGCGGAGATATCCACCGGCGCGGAGGGGGCGACACAGCGCCTGAAGGCCAACGCGGCACCTGCGAGCACCGCGGTTCCTCCGATCGCTCCCAGGCCGATCGTCGCAACGCTCGCGAGAGACCGCTGCCCTGCCAACGGCAGGCCGTCCATCGCGGAATACAGCCTGGTTTTCTGGGTTTCATTATTCCAATCGCCGAGGGCGCACTTCTCCTCGCCGCCCTTGCAGCGGGGGCGCTCCTTGCACAGGTCTCGCCGAGCGCCTGCTCACAGATCATGTCCTTCACTGCATCTGGGTCGTTGGAATCGGACGCGACGACCTCCTTGGCCTCCTTCCCATCGCGGGCGCTCGATATCTCCGCGACCCTATCCATGAACCAGAGGCAACAATTATCCGATTCGCCGCACCTCGAGTTCTCATCAACTTCCCGCCAGCATCCGATGTCACAGCTGACGGGGCCGACAGAATCCCAGTAGCTGAACATATGTCCGCACCCGGTGGGGACAGCGGCGGCCTGCAGGAGTGCGGCGGCCGCGAGCACCAGGCGGGCCATCGCTGTTGGGGTTTCGGGCCGATTGAAGCAAAGAAGCCGCTGCCTGTGCCGGCGGGGGCGGGCTGAACCAAAGCGTCTTGAGCCAAATGGCTACGGAGGACGCTCTTGAAGGCTCTTGGGGGTTTGGGGGGGTGGGGCATCTCGGGTTTTGGTTTGGGCTCTCCTGGTGGCATATTAAGACTTTTTGGGGGCGCTTCGGGGGCCGGGACCGTCAGGCAACGACTCACGCTGAAAAACTGGCCGTAGGGAAGGTGGCCAGACCTCTGGGGGTCCACGCATCAGAAAGACTGGAGCGCCAGATGTCTGGGTATTGCAGTGGCCAGACTCTGAGCGACGTAGCTCGCAGCGTTCCTCGGCTTTTCAGTGTCCTCAGCGTGCGACAGAGCGGTGGGTCTCGTGAAACCCTACCACAGCCGACGTCCACGCAGGAACTCTCCCAAGGGACGGTCCGCGGCCTTCAGCCCAGGACCCAAAACCCAGGGCTCCACGGCGGTGCCACGTGAAACACGGAAGCCAGAGGCGGAGCAGTCTCTGTCGCATGTCGCGAGGGCGGCCCTGGCGACACGCTACGGCCCACGCGAGTGGATAGCGTGTCGATGCGATCCTCGGGACGCCGACGCGCGGGAACTGGGGCGTGGATAGCGCAGACATGCGACGTCCTGATTTCGTTAATACGCGGTCCCCGAAGTCCCGACCCTTTCCCCGGGGACGGCTCTTCATCCTGAGACGTTCCTTGACGGAAGAAGAGGAAGGAGGAGGAGGAGGAAGAAGAGGAAAAGGAGGAGGAGGAAGAGGAGGAGGAGGAGGAGGAGGAGGAGGTGGGAGACCGCACTCGCATCGTGGCGGAGGATGGAGGTATGGCGTCATTTGCGCAGGGCACGACCGCAGGAGGATAACTACCTAGCGGACGGGACGACACTGAAGGCGAGGTTTCTTTGAAGACGGCATTCCGACGCTCTTGTTTTGCAGTGTTGGGCTGAGGTTGACATGGCTGACATGAAGTGGGCGTGGCGAGTTTGTGGCTGCATTCTGCCGAGCATTTCTGGGTTCCAGACAAACCAATCGTGCAGGCTGACGGGGGCGAAGCAACGCTGGGGGGAATTTCCTCGCGCGAGGGGGGCGCGGCACGCGTGGCGCCAATCTGGGGCGGGTTTGGGAAGGTGCCAGCAGAGGCCGCGGGAGAACCTGATTCGAGGCGCAGACCGAACGTGCCGCGGTGGTTCCGCGCGTGCGACGACGCGGACGTGGACGGGTCGTCGACGGAAATGCCTTGCACTGTGGACGGCTGGTGGGCCGCGGGGGCCGAGGTGGCATGGCCTGTTTTTTTTTTGTCCGACGTTTACCGGGCGCGGGAGGCGCGTGGCATCCGCGCTTGAGCACCTCAGAGGACGCGCTGTACTCATGAGCTGCTGCTTCGTCGGAGGTTTCCTGTGGCGTCACGCGGTCCGTGACGCATGCCGCATGGAGTCGGACCAGTTCCAGGGGGGACTCACGCGCCTCGTCCATTGTGACGCGCGGCTCGCCGGACAGCGCGAGCGTGACGTGGGTTGCAGGGGGCTACAGACGCTGGGCGATTCCGCCCCTTCCTACGGGGCCCGGCATGGGCGAAGACGTGGAGCCGTCGGGGCAGTCCTGGCATCGTGCTGCTCGGAGAAGTGACGCGTCGACGATGTTCGATGTGAACGCTCTTGCAGGAGCGTTGCCCGCAGGGGGCGACAGCCCCTGCTCGGACTGATGCGTCTCTTCTACTAATACTCTTGTGGTCTCGAAGCTGCATCCTCGGGATATGGCTACGTACAACTGGCCGTGCGCGAAGATTGGCTTTGGTAGATACACGCCGAGGCGACCTTGGAGGGACTGTCCTTGCGATTTGTTAATGGTGATGACCCACGCCGGTTTCACGGGGCACTGGCGTCGTCGGAGCACGAATGGGAGTTCGCAATCCCCGCAAGGGTCGCAGCATATCCGCGGCAGCAGCTCGACGTTACCCGCAAAGGGCCCGGCGACGACACGGACGATCAGGAAGTGCGACCTCATTCGTTCTACGACGAGACGCGTGCCGTTGCAGAGGCCTCGATGCGGAGCGAAGTTCCGCAGCAGAATTACCAACGACCCGTGTCGCAGTCGGAGCTCGTGAGAGGGAAGTCCAGCGGTCTGGATGTTGTTCAGGAACTCCGTGGTGCACGTGGCCCCGTGGTCTACCTCGGCGATAGCGACGTCCTGGCTCGGGGAGACGACTTCTGTGTCGCTCGGCAGTTTTGCGTGCATGAGCGCATTCAGG